AAAATAAAAAAAAAGTAATAAGGCAGTTCTGACTCAAATGATCTCAAAGCTCTGTAAGAGTCAAGATGTCATCAGGATAGTGTACAGATTTAACAGATCAGTTTTGCTAGCCTGAGAGAGAACTATAGAATTGTTTTTTTTTTTTCTATGTGAACAAAAAGGTATTAATTATCTTGTATTAAACATAAAAATATAGTTTGGAAATAAAATTAATGATAGGAAGATAAAGGGTTAGATTTTAAAGGATTAATTGCTCAAGTCTTTGGTTATTTAATATTTACTAAATTTATGCTTGTGTTTGTTCTATAATAATTAACTATGTGATCTATGAGGTGTTTTGTCAAATAATTTGATCAAAATACTGATGCTAAATCAAAGTTAAATCAATTTTATCAGTGCTGTACAGATTCAGTATGGATTAAATGAGTCAGAAAGGAGCTAGATCATTACTTTTGCAGCACAATTTAATAAATTATATATCTATGTGATTGAATGCTACATTACTCTCATAAATTACATACTATAACAAAAATTCAAAGCAATTTGAGTTCATTATTTAAGAGATGGTACTGCTTCTTTAGCTGGCACCGAGAAATACACAGTGACTATTTTACTTTTAATTATGAAAATTTAAAAATATGTAATAGAAGAGAGAATACTATAAGTAAGCCATGAAACTCTTACTCGTTTCGGCAATATGGGCATGTTATTATTTTTCCTCTATCTTTGATTGAATGTTTATTTTGTGGTTGTTACAATGCCTCTCAAAACTTAATTTTTCATAAATAGAGATATCCCACAATGCACTGGATAATTTCACAGAGCAAATATTGCTGTTACTTAAAATGGTTCATGTCCCCATTAGAGAAACACTATTTAGAATAAGATATGACAATACTTTTTGTGACAATGTACCCATGGGGTCAGATGTTCAAACTACATTTCAAGTGAATAAATAGTTTAACATGAGCGAAAACAATCTTTTGATGGAAAAATAGGCTTAAATCTATTTCAGTAACTTTTTTATATTTTAAAATCAAATCACTAAGATAAACATATTTGAGGAAAAAATCTTACTCCCTGTGACAGCATTCCATCCTTACATCAACTTAATGCATTCAATCTCTAATTCATGAAAAATGGTTAAAGAAGAAAATGAGGCTTTTGAGCCTCAATTTTGCACATAAAATAGAAGTAGTTCAATTTCTTATTATCCAGAGGTAGAATTTTTGTTACATTAATTTTAAAATAGCATTTTAAAACGATTTAGTTGTCTTCGTAAAAAATAGTTATATGATTTTCAACATATTGTTTTTGTAGTAATATACAGTAAAATTTAAAAGTATGGATGGAAAGGCCAAAAAATTTGTATTTTATTTTTTCCCATTAAGTTTATTGGTACATTCGAAGCAAATGATACAGTTCCATTTATCATTGGGATCTTGTACTTTTACATGATATGTCTTCATTCTTGAAGGGGGTGGAGTGAGGGCAGGGGTGTGGGGAAAATACATCTGTATTTTAAACTTAGCTTTTTCACATCGCACTTTGATATTTGGAAAAATTCCCTCCCTTCTTCTGAGTTCCATATAAATAATTATGGTGATAATACTGTCTATACCATATTTGCTATGAACACTGAGTTGTTCTATGCACTGTCTTAGGACGTTGCACTTCGCAAACATTATAAAGAATTAAGCATTAGTTTTATGTTTTAATTTAATTTTGAGACGGAGTCTTGTGTAGTTCAGTCTGACCTTGAAATCACTGTGTATCCCAGGCTGGCCGAAAATACATAGTGGTCTTCCTGCCTCAGCCTCCTGAGTGCTTGTGTTATAGGTCTCTACCATCAGACGGGGCCTAGGAATTAGTTTTACTACTATTGTTGATTTCCAGTTTCTTCAGGAAAGTGAACCTACTTTAATCACTTTCTTGACTTTATCTATATTTTACACTATATAAATTATAAGTACCACTAAAAATAGTAGTTTTAGATAATCTTCACAAAATACCAATCATGGCAACAACTGTATATACCAAAATGTATTGAACATTTTGTAAAAGATTGTCGTTATGCACAATAAACCTATGAAGCAGAGCCCATAAATACTATTAATTTTATATCAAGTAAATGAGTTAAATAATGAGTATAAATGGTTAAGTACTTATAAAGTTAAGTGTATGGAATCAAATTTTAACACAAGGTAAGATAATACACTTTGGATAATAAGAATTTATCAGAAACATTCTTCAACATCTATTCATCATATCTATTCTTCATACATATATATTTTAAATTATGTACAATACTTATATATCATAGTAATATGATAATATACAATATAACATTAATATGACAATATATTAACATATTAATATATCATATTACTATAATGTATAATAAAATTTTAATTATGTATAATAATCTTCATATCAATTTATCTGAATCATTCTTTAATATTATCAAGATAGCTTTAATAATTCCATCCTATGCTACAAAATAGACCCGTATCCTCACTTTAGATTATCTGGGTCTATACTGTGTACATTGATGGATTTCATTGTGAAATATTTTAATGTATAAACATTTCTTGAGCCCCCAAATAAAGGGCTTTCCTTTCATTTTTAATGAATCCTAAAGACAAGATATTATGGGCTTGTCAGAGTCATTCAGTAAGATTTTTGTCCGCACTCATTAAAGCTTCCCAGGTAGAGGTTTGAAAAAATATTTTCATTTTTCTGTCACGTAACAGAAGCCAGTCGATAGAGAAATTATATAGGGAAAATCTCTGGCTATTGGTTTTTCATAATCTTGGATTGCATTTTAACTCCCCAATTTTCAATCTCTGTACTCTGAACAAGATCTTCAAAAATTTATCCATTTGTCAAAATGGATTACATAAACTGAAACATATGTACTGTGCTGTTTTCCAATAATTTAACAAGTTCTTTTTAGTCTTCAGTGAATGTCAGGGCAAAAGCAACTAAATTGTTAATCTGAGGCTAAAACCTGTGATAGAAATTGGGCAGACACATACTCAAAGTAATATTCTTTTAGAAGCTGTCAGAAAAAAATATTCTTTATTCTTTTCTTTCATATCACCAGCAAGTAATTGCAAGGTGTATCTCAGCTTTCTATAATCCATCTCTCAAGGCTACTTGCTTCAATTTCTTTTCCTAATTTTCATCTATCAAAGCTCTTCTCCCGTTTAATCTCCTTTTCCTTTATCCTTTTTAAGAGGAACCTTCTAGAATTATTCATTTTAGAAGACCACTTAAATAAATAGAATCTTCCAGACAATAAAATTTCCTTTATATTGATATGGTATAGAAAAATATATTTGTATGTAGAGAAAAAATAAAATTATGAGTGATGTTTTTTTCTTTTTTTCGATGAACTAACCTTGGTGTGATGGTTAAGTCAATCTATTAGGCCTTAGTAGGATGCGGTATCAGTTTAAATGGTTGGTCTTAACCTGGCAGTGGGTTTCAGGCATGAACTTTTGTGTTGTGCCATGTTGTTGCCAGGACAGCTAAGTATCATACTTCAGTTATCATCCTTTAAATAGCTTGTAGCTGGAACTCTCAGAATTTCCTATAACAATGAAGGTATATTTTCATTCACAAAGGCTAATTTAAAAATAAATACTATTTATTGATAAAAATGAAAATTATCGTTTATCCTTTTATGTTTTTAACAGGTAACCCATTGTTAACCAGCAAAGTCAACATTCTCATTAATGTCCTAGATGTCAACGAATTTCCTCCAGAAATATCTGTGCCATATGAGACAGATGTTTGTGAAAATGCCAAACCAGGACAGGTATCTTACAAAAACTGTTAAAGTATGTAAAGATTCATTGTGTGTGTGTGTGTGTGTGTGTGTGTGTGTGTGTGTGTGTATTGACTTGTAAATCCAGACGAGAGTACATCCACATAGATTTCATTCATTTTTCTGGATCAGATGTCTCTATAAAAGAAACCATATAAAATATCAAAATCATGTTACTTAATGGTATATGCATGCATGTGAAGGACAGGAAGTCTTGGTTGCCTAATTAGAGCCCTGTGGACTATTAGAGATCAGAATTGTTGATTCTGTGGGTTTTCCTGCTTTCTCATCATAAAATTTCTGAAGAAGTTGAGACTATCAATCCAGGAAGCAAAACTTTAGGGTGTTTCTTTCTTTCTTTCTTTCTTTCTTTTTTTTTTTTTTTTTTTTTTTTTTTTTGCTTTGCTCACCTGATTTGACAGAGTACAACAAAGCCCTAAGCCTATTGAGGAGAGAGATAAAGTAAAGCTTCTCTTTGTTTGTTTTGAGAACATCTGTATTATTTAAAATATCTGATGCTAGTTGTGTTCATGAAATCATGTTTACTCTGCTTTACTGTGGAGGTGTTATGGAGGACCACGTTGCTGATGAAAGTGATTGTCAAAGTCCGAGGTTTCCTATAGAGTCATGGTGGCTGGCCGGTCTTCTTCTTTACTCCTATGCTACCATGGAAAGTTGAATGAATAGCACAATGAAAATCAAGTATGAGTGTAGAGAAGAGTGTTTCATAAAACAAAAATATGATTAATCTAATACTATGTAATTAAATTCTAATAATTGAAAATGTATCCATGTGCTTTGCATTACTATATATTTCAAGAATATTTTAAGCAGCATAAACACTTATTAAAATAAATTTTAGAAGTATTAATTCTGAATAGAAATAGAATTATTATTTTAAATTATATTTTTGTTAAAAAAGTGCATTCTTTAATTTCCTTCCTTTTTTTTTTTTTCTAGCTTTTGTGCTTACCTCTCCCTAGTACAACATTTGGTCCAAAACTTTACATTTGTGAGTCCACTATCTATATAGCTATTAAAATAAAAGTTACAAAACTTAAAACCAATGTTGTTGTTCACATGAGTCACATTTACAGTGGTCAGTAAATGTATGGGTTGAGCAGATGTCATTTTGTGACTACCGATAGAAAGTATTTTTATAAATGTAGAAACTTCTAGTCTAGCCATCAATTTGTTAATTAGGGAAATTTCTAGCATTAATACATTATGATTGATTTAATAATACTTTTTCAAACTAAAAATCTGCATCTTTAGTTTTGAATAGGCACAGTAATGAAACCTAACAAAAATTTCCACAGGATGCACCCACTACTTGCTTCAGGGTCTGAAATAGTAGATGCTATATGAATACTTGCCTCCCCCAAATTAATTGATTTGTTTTTCTGGGGAATTTAGAAAATATTTGTCAAAACAAATAGGACTTTCCACTTTCCAAATGCCCCACTGAACACAAGTTTAAAAAAAATAATGACAATTGTTTATCTTTCAGGCAATTAGATGTGTTAATGATTTCAGATAAATTAAAATCTTGTCATAATCCAAATGAAATACTTTGGGCATAGAGCTCTATTTATTTATTTATTTGTTTGTTTGTTTATTTGTTTACTTATTTATTTTGGGGATTTTTGAGACAGGGTCTCACTATGTAGTTGAAATTGACCTGGGACTCACTATGTAGCCCAGGCTGGTCTCCAATTTGCAGCAATCCTCCTGCCTCAGCTTCCTGAGTGCTGGGATGACAGGCATGCACCACCACGCCCAGCATAGAGGTCTTATTTAATACCATTGGTTTCTTCTAATACATTAATGGATTTGGGGTGTGGGGAAATGTAAAAGTTATTAGAGATGGGCCTGATTTTGTTAAATGTGGACAAGGTGACGAAGAATCTGTGGAATCCTTAGAGACTCTATTTTAACAAACATCTTTTGAGTGTTGTTTGTCCAAATGGGCAACACTTGTGCCCGAAGTGTAATCCTGAAACGGCCTTTGGGATGGGCCCGCTCAGCTTTTGTCCCCACACTGCTCTAGCATCAGAACTATTGATTTCTTAGAGATGATTCTTGAATGTGCGTATATTTATATATCAGAAAAGAAGAGAGGGTGAGAAAGCAAATGCTGCTGTGTAAATCTGGGGAGATTTGTATGGGAGAATGTTTTTTAGGCACCATCTGTAATACTTCCAGTTATTTTCTAGTCTCTGTGTTCTATGAAATACTCAAAGTCTTCTCAGTCTTAAAGTTGTAGCTTTCGTAAGTTTTGATGTTAAATACTGCTTGATAATAATACCAAGGAAAAGGAACAAAATTGGACTATCAGATATTGATTCCTAGATATTGTATAGTAAGTGTATAATCTGAGAAAAATGGTCTTTGTGAAGAAAAGTTTTATGGTTTCTAGGTAATGATTAAATTTATTAAATTGTCACATCTCATAGTGTGATCTTTCATGCTGAAATGTGATACTCTAGCCATTGACAATTTCATAGGATAAATAAGTTCTGTGTAACAATTCATAGTAAGATGAAAAACTGAAATTCACAGCAAAGGACCAATTATTTCTTGATTTGCAATATTATTACATTGACGCTCAATTTCCCAAGGACATCTTTCTATCACATTTATCTATATAGCATTTATATACCCTTGCTATATGGGGATGTAGACCGGAGTCATAGTAGTAGTTTACAGCCAGGGATAAAAGAAAAGTAGTAGGTGAATCAAGTTTAATGGCACCAATCCAAGATCATATGATGTGTAATTCATGCACTGGGGCCAGGATACCATGCTTGAAATCTTTCTTCTTTTTAAAAATTTCAATTTATTCCAAGAACCTAAACTCTTGAAAATGCTGTCTGTCCCAAATTTATTCAGTGTTTTAACTTAATAAAGTCTAGATACTCAAGAGGCTAAGCAAAGGCGATTGTGAGTTTCAGGTCAGCTTGGACCATATAGTGTGACTCTGTTTCAAAAAGAAAAGAAAAGAAAAAAATAGAATAAAGCCATTAGCGTGCTTATCTGTGCAGTGAATTATAAATTTTACAGTGTGGGTTTCAAAGTTAATTTGCTACTAAAATGTTAGTACTATAATCCCATAGTACCCAGATTTTAACTACAATGTTCACAATTTATGGGACCAAGTTGGGATGTTTTTTGAAATAAAGACATTAGTTTTTTTTCTTGTAAAAACCATGAAAACAGTTTTTCTTCTCAGTAAATGGGTGAAAATTAGCACAAAAACAAAATGACCTATTTTTATGGCCTTCTTTTTCAACGCTTTATTTATTTATGAAAATAAAATTCATTCTTACAAACATACCTGTTATAAAATTTTGCTATTGTAAGGACTTTTAAATAATCAGCTATTTTGTTTCCAGTAAGCATTTTCATTTTTAGAGTAGAAAGCATTGATTCCATCTGACTTTAAATGCAAGCAAGTACATTTTAATTTTATTTTGCTTATTAGCAAGAATTTTTAAGGCTGGTAAGCTTTTTTGTGTAAAACATTGATTTAAAATTAGACTGTGTCCTGTAATTGTACCTGCCGTTATTACCAGTAAATACTTAAAGAATTGTTTATAAAATTTAAGTTTAAATAATTGGTGCTCTGATATTGATTCAAAAGGCTTCTTTTCTGTCTACTTGGTCTACTCTCATGCTTCATTAAATACATTTATTAGTACATTGTTCAAGTTTCCTTTGAAAATGATGACTGACTCCAAGTTAAATCTCAACCCTGTTTCAGATAATTCAGATAGTCAGTGCTGCAGACCGAGATCTCTCACCCGCTGGACAGCAATTCTCCTTTAGATTAGCACCTGAGGCTGCCATCAAACCAAATTTTACAGTCCGTGATTTCAGAAGTAAGTATAACCACATAAAATTAACCTCTTTCCATGTAGCTTTGTCCAGAGGTGCAAACACCAAAATCAGTGTTTTTCCTAAAAGCACTCAGTTTCAGAAAGTATAGAAAATCCTACATGTGAAATCCAAAAAATTTTAAGCAGTATTTAAAATGTTTAGTCTATACAGACTGTACCTAGTAAAGTAGCAAACTTTCTTTGTGAAAGTAAACAATCCCTAAATGAGTCAAGAAAAAAAGCTATCTGGGAAATTGAATTACTTCCTTGTTTAAATCTATCACCTGTCCTACAGGCATGTGACATGTAAATACAAGTGGCTCACACCATAGAAACATTTTTGTTTGAAGAACACACAGTACATAGAGGTAAAGAATGTGAGCGCCTCTATAAGAATGATGCAGGCTTCGTTTCATACCATCTAACTGGCACTTATACTAAATAGTGTCAACTTCATAGTATCTGTGTTAAAATTATGTATAACAATGCTTTATCACCAAGCTTAAAATATGCGGCTGTCCCCACATTTTGCTCTACTACCTCTTCCACTGTTTACCTTACACCTTTGTCACTCTTACTGCCACCATTTTTACTAATGTTGCTTATACTATGAAATCTGTTACCACTAAAACCAGTACAGATTGTAAAACATACTTCATTAGAAATACAGATGCGTCTTACTCTGTAAAGCTTACATCTCAAACACATCAAAAATTTAAAAATACCTTAAATCGAAAGCATATTTAATATATCTAATCTACCAAACATCATTGATTCATCTTGTGCACTCAGAGCACTTAAATTAGTCTAAAGTTGAGCAAAATTCTTAATACAGAGCCTATTTTATAATAAGGTGTTGAATATCTCATGTAATCTGTTAAGTATTCCACTAGAAGGGAAACAGTGATGGTATTAGTAAACTTCCACATACATCATCGTGAAGTTGAAAAGTCATGAACTATTATAATGATGGGAACAGGCTATACTAGGGTTTATATGTGGTCAGTTAAATATAGTAAGTTGCTTTGACTGTATTAGTTCTATAACTATAAGTATTTTATCTACTCTAAACTTCTGTTTTACAAAATAAGAATTAAAATTACTGATTTTATAATAGTGGCTTGGTAGAGGCTAAAGTTTTAATAAATTCTTTTTATTGTGAGAACACTGTGCTCTGTGACTCAAATAATACTGATGTAGCTCCTCCAGTAAAGATACATGCCTAGGAGATGTATGATACTTGTATTTAATTAAATGATTAACCATCAATCTAGATGCCCAACGAATTTCACATTATCAGTTCTCAACAAATAATACATTGAAAATAAATATTAAAAATTAAAAAGCTAGATTGTCTTTTTTAAAAAAGGAAGAAAAATCACTTTTTATAAAGGTGGACACATCAGAATTTCTATCAAATTATTTAACTCATGTTACAAGCTTAATATTTGTTCCTTTCTCTCACCTTCAAATATTAAGTGATCAAAGGTTGAAGATTTCAATATTACTTCAACTAGTCCCCATTTTTCCATCCTTTTTGCCCCCTTAAGAGTTTACCCTCAGTAAATCTCTTGCTTCTTCGTTTGAAGACATCCTCTCTATAACAATAGCACATTATTCTTCCCAAAGCAAATACTAATCATGGTTATATGTTGCTTTTACAATAACATACTTTCTATTGCAATGAGTGTAGAGAAGGTATCTAAATTCAGGTTGTTGAATTTGAAGCCTGCAAAGAGAATATTAAAATATAACTGAAGTAGTAACACAATTCCAGCAGATCTACATTGTAATGAATATCATACTTTTCTAATTTATAAAAATTATTCCCAATTGGTAATCATGTATAGTTTTACTTTTACATGTTATATATTTTTAAAATAGAAAATGGTGTGTATAAATCACTTGAACAGGCCCCCCAAATAAAATAAAACACCTGTTGCTTTCAATAGGAACATTGATTGAATTTATATAAAAATAGAAATTTTATTGTCATAGCAAATATATATCTTGATGATTGAGTTAGAATTACAGTTAATTTCATCTGTTATTACATTAATAATTTGTGGTAGTTACAATTTGAATGAAGGTTGATGTTTTTGACATACTGTATCTTTCTTTCCATGTCCCTTACTTTGGCTGATGTGCAAAAATGAAGACACATACAAACCTTCATATCTGCATATGCATTATTCTGTACTGTTCAGGAGGAGTTGATTTCAGGCCTCTCTACCTCCCATGGATACCAAAATCTATAGATGCTCGAGTGCCTTATGTAAAAGTCCTAGGATCTGTATACAATGAATATATGACCTGCTAACACTTTAAATCATCTTTAGATTCTTTGATGATTATATACAAGGAAAATGTTGTATAAATAATTGCTAGACTTTGCTATTTAGGGAATAATAACAAAAATTATGTACATGTTTGCATCCATATTTTCTTGTCAAATTCTATATACTTTTTTTCTTTACAAATGTAATATTCTGTTATGAAATTTGGGGGTATGGAATATATAGTCAGGACATGGGATACATATATATATTTTTTTCATACAGGTATAAATAAGTCAAACAGACAAGAAAAAAGTCTAGGTTTTAATCCATTGACAAATATATTTTTTGGAGGGGTGTTTTTTGGTATCGGGAATTGAACTCAAGGCGTCACACTTGTCAGGCTGGTGTTTCACTGCTAGCTACATCACCTGCCCAACTTTAATATATTTTAAAGAATAGATTTTTATGTAAAATATTCTACCTACTCATACTTTGTTACTCCTTCACTAATATCTCTGAGAACATTCAAAAGATATTTTTTTTCTCAATGAGATTTTCTAATAATTTCTTGACTTTAAAATCATCATCTACTCCTGAAAAGAAAATTTATTTCTTACTCCACACAAGATTAATGATTCTTCTTTCCTCAAGGTAAATTTGAATGACATTTGATTACACTTTGGTGTCTTTCATAAAGTTAAAAGAAAACATTAAACTAAGGATTCGTTTTACTAATTCAATAACTTCCTACTGCTTAGCAGACACCGAGTTTAAGACTTGAAGTGATGCCTATATTAACCATATCATCATAAATGTCATGTTTTGTAGACAATACAGCTGGAATTGAAACCCGAAGAAATGGATACAGTCGCAGGCAGAAAGAGCTGTATTTCCTGCCTGTGGTAATAGAAGACAGCAGTTACCCGGTCCAGAGCAGCACAAATACCATGACTATCAGAGTCTGTAGATGTGATTCTGATGGTACCATTCTGTCTTGTAACGTGGAAGCAGTTTTTCTACCTGTAGGACTTAGCACGGGGGCTTTGATCGCAATCCTTCTATGCATTGTTATACTTTTAGGTGAGTTTAAACTTAGTCACCTCTCTCTCTCTCTCTCTCTCTCTCTCTCTCTCTCTCTCTCTCTCTCTCTCCCCTCTTTCATTTTCTCTTATCTCCCTGTTTCTTTCATCAGTTTACTATATAAATAAACATTCTTCACTGGCCTATCACCTCTAAATACAAGATTATCTAGCTCTATTGAATTAAACTTTAATTTTGTATGACATTAATTTTGTAATGCATGAAAAACATTACTAAAGGAAAATCATGTTCAAACAAGCCCTAAGTAAATTTCAATTGTTTGGGCCTTTGACACAATGAAATTCTTACCATCGATATTCACTTAAAACTGTTTCTCCATTTATTTTCCATTTCAGTAATTACCACAGTCTAATACATGATTATGTCAACTTTTAAACAAATATACTTCAGTTCCAGAAAAAAAGGAAGAGAAAAGACAAGGCAGAAATGCCATGTAAAGGGACCCAAATTTGGTTTTATCCCATTTAAACTGCCAGCCAGAAGCAATTCTTCTTTTATTCTAATGCATCTCACACGAATCCCTGAATATTCTACTCTAATGGTACGGAGCAGAGGAAAGTATCTCAAAGCGTGGCAAAGGGAAACGACTGAAGTCAGTGCTTTCTGTGACATCTCTGTGGGAGAACATGAAGCCAGTCTAGGATTTGCCCTCTTCCATCTGCTCGGTCAGCTTTCCCATTTCCTCATTTCCCCGCCACACACACACGATGCATTTTGCCAGGATTTTGTTTAAAATCAAACTGCAGCAGATATACAACTGAGCATGATAGTATCATCTACATATGTGTGCTTACTATTTAATCCAAATATTCTGACAACTGTCATCATCTGACATTATCTCTAGGATAGAAGACAAAACTATAAAAACACGTTCTAGAGAGGGAGGCCTGGAGTACAGTACTAGAGGCTAGTTTGTGGCCAACGTTCAGAGCCAGACATTCCTCCTGACCTGGACAACAAAATTCTAGTCCAATTTGCATTGTGAGGCCACTAATTCCACACTGATATCTTTGCAGTACAGAACAAAGTCTTCTTGATTGCTTTATAAGTTATAATAAATTATCCTTAGCATCTGTTTTCGCTGGTGCTTTAAACCTGAGAAGGTTATTGAAAGTAATGCCCACACATCTGAAAGTGGACTTGATTTTGTTGTTTAAATTCAAAGAAATGTCCTGCTTTCATTCTCTGCTCTTCCCTTGTAATTAAGGGACCCCAAATTTAACAAAACTGGGCAGATTCGGAGTGTTGTTCTTTGGCTCCTCTGGGATTCACATGATGAATCAGCAACTTTTGACTCATCTTTTTCCTGCACTGACACCTGTACGAGTAACCCAAGTGTCGTGAGTGCACCACAACATTTCATGGAGTTTGAATTCCTTGTACACAGAACCAATTTTTGCCATTTTTTTATCTTCCTGTGTGTCCACTGTGAAATTTGCCAATTCCTGGCCTTGCTTGAACAAACACAGAATCCTTTATGTTTTCCATTTTGTGTCTTTAAAGTAGTGAATGAAAAGCATGGGAATTATGTGGTTTTCCAGTTTCTTTTATGTGACCCTCAGACACATCAGAAATGGCAACTCTAAATCTACTTGATGTACAGGACTTTTCCACAAAGGTCGACATCTCTCACACATTCTGGACAATCCAGTCTCCTCCATTCTGGGTTTCCCCATTCCCTGAGACAGATTGCTGAGAATCTCCCCAAGGCCCTCTTTGTAGCAGTGGTGATAACCTCTCTTTCCTCCTTCTGATCGTCCCAAGACTGGCTTTAGGAGAAAAGAGGATAAATGGGCTTTTGTTATCATAACTTCTCTGTTTTGGACGGGGCAAGGCTGAGCACAGAGTTCATTGTTCATATTGGGTCCCACACATCATTTGAAGAAAAACACATCCAAAGTATAAACAAGTTAAAAACCAAGATAAAAGATGGACGATGAGGAATAGAGAGATAGATGTTTTGCAAATGGGAAGGGAAACCAAGACAAGGGGGTTGGGAGGAAACGGATGAACAAAGAGTTAAGGCATGTTATGTACATGTATAAATTCCTCACAAGGAATGTAATCATTATGTACTGCAAACATGTACTGATAAAAATGAAAATTTGAAAAATAAGGTATAAACCCCAACAATTCAGCGGAGAGCACTGAGTCAACTAGGAAAAATAAGATATTAAAGGAATGAAAAGGTATAAATTAATTTCAATTTGAGTATATGTGCTGCCAAAGCAAGCACAGAAAGCTATAAATTATTTCAAAATATTATCTCACTCCATGAAGTTAACCAAAAGCTTCAATGGAGTGTACACATAATTACAACCATCAGAGGTCTTATTTCACACAATTTAAGAAGCTTCAGTCTTTTTATTTTACTTTGTTTTCCTTCTTTTCTTTTGCCCTCCTTTTCTTCTTTTTTTGCTTAATCTCTCTTTTTTATATATTGCTTTTAAAACTCATTATCTCAAAGAAGTTTGGGTTATTTCATTAAAAATATCAATTGTCAATATCCAACTGAGAAATAATACAATCAGAAAATTATCAATGATATTTCAGTTGTACCTACAATATATAATGTCCATTTTTTGTAATATCAATGTTATGATTTTATACAATCATTATGAGAACAATCATTAATTTTTGCAACACTTTTTAAAGGCATTATTTATTATCCAAAGTATGCCGAAATATAAGGATAAAATTGATAGTTTAACAATACTGAGTTTCTTTTTACAGCTCCAAAATGAAGCTAACGTTAGACAATGAAAAAAATCAGTGTATACATAATATTATATATTCATGCTCACTTTGAAAATAATAGCAAGTATTAAAGCAGTTCAAGGAGCACGGATCAATTTTAACTTACGGTGAAATAGAATGAATGACCTATCTGCTTTCTGTGCTCAACGTACTTTTTTATCTTGTTTTAGCCATAGTTGTACTGTATGTAGCTCTGCGACGGCAAAAGAAGAAAGACACCCTGATGACCTCCAAGGAAGACATCAGAGACAATGTCATCCACTATGACGACGAAGGCGGCGGGGAGGAGGACACCCAGGCCTTTGACATCGGGGCTCTGCGAAATCCAAAAGTGATAGAAGAGAACAAAATTCGCAGGGATATTAAACCAGACTCTCTGTGTTTGCCACGTCAGAGACCACCAGTGGAAGATAACACAGACATAAGGGATTTCATTCACCAGCGGCTACAGGAAAACGATGTGGACCCATCTGCACCACCCTATGACTCCTTGGCCACGTACGCCTACGAAGGCCACGGATCTGCGGCTGAGTCGCTCAGCTCCATAGACTCTCTCACCACCGACGCTGACCAGGACTACGACTATTTGGCTGACTGGGGACCTCGCTTTAAAGTCTTGGCAGAGATGTTTGGCGAAGAAGAGAGCTATAACCCTGATAAAGTCACTTAGGGGTGAGGTGAAAGCTACACAACGAACGGGGGAAGTTTTTAACAAAGAAAACACAAATAGAGCTCACATACATGTACCCATGTGCACACAGGCTTTATAGGACAAGATTCATTATCTGGTTTCTAGCGAGTTGCTATATTTATCACATTGTCAGTTCTTCAGTTTTGGTTTATTCTGTCAATGCAAGATAAATGCTATAATATACACTTGCTTTGTTTTGTTTTGTTATTTCAGAAACTCACTGAGACAAGCTCAGGCCTATTATGTACAATTTTCCGACATGACAACCTAGAATGAAGATAGCTCTGTGGCATCACGGTGGAAGGGTGTTAGATTTTTCTTAATTCCACTAAAGTGCCTATTGAACCTCTTATCATTTAAAGTGGTGTACACTACACTCTGCCGTGATGGCATTGCGGGATACACAGATAAAGAGGAATAAAACAAAGACACCTTCTCTTTGTCAAGGAGCAATAGCAGCATGCTGACTTCTCTCATTCCTTTTGAGAAATACAGAAGAGCACTTCCTGAACACCATCTTTGTGTAATTCAAGAGGCTTTTCCCCTTTAAACTGTATGCTGAGACACATTTGTTTTTGGTATACTTTCAGAAAATTGAAATCAATGTGACAATATCCAATTCAATATGGAAGTGATGAATTCTAAAAGCACTGTTTGATCTTAACATTAGTTCATGTGAAAGATGTGTATTAAAATATTACTTTTTTTTCCAAAAACTAAACATTTGAAAACATAAATAAGAAATCCCTCTTAATAAAGAGAGGCCTCAGGGCTGAAATTCCATATTAAAATAAAAAATGGTTTTGTTTAATGCTGTACTGGTGTGTGAAAATTGGTTTTAAAAATCACCAAATCATTTTCATTTTCATAGATAAAATTTCTGCATGTATTTATATGAAAATTTTTGAAGGAAACAAGTGCTTTTTATCCCCAAAAGGGAAGAAAAGTTGATTACACAGCTTCTAGTGAGTCTTCGATGAGAAACGAAAATAAAATGCACATCAAGTAGCATGGGCTAGATTTATAACATGCCCGCAAATCTTTATTATTTATTACTTAACAAATTAAAAGTCAGGGACTTCAGAAACTAACCCAATGACTGAAGCCCAAAAGGCCCACAAATGCAAAATCAGGCAGCTGATCCACTCATTTTGTAATATGTATTTCAATTTGTAAACACATGGATCTTAAATCTGAGCTCAGCATGACCTCTTTCCTTTCTCATCTTCAACAATACCCACATACAAGACCTCTTAGAGTAATCCAGTGAACAACCTTTTCAATTTGATGTAAGCCTCTGAGAAATATTAGATTTTAGATATGTATTAGCAATTCATATTCATTTTACAATCAAGTAGATTGTACGCTATCTAGAAGGGGATGTAACCAATATGAACTAATCATAAAGTGATATATTTTCTCAGTATTCTGACTTATCCAAGTAACTGCTGAAATAGTGACACTGTAGAAAAAGAATACATTTGCTTATAGGTCCTTTCAAAAGATATGTTCAATATCTTACTGTATTTATAAAATATCTATAAAATATTTAACGTGCAAAGTTGTGAAGGTGAAAATTTACAATAGGGTTGAATATGTATAACATAAGCATCATCAGCATTATTCTGGCATGAATGCTTACTTTAAAATTATCTGACTGGTGTGGATGCCATGGCCTTGTGTCCATTGGAATGTGCTAATCTCATTTCTTTTTTGGTGTTACCCATACTCTCCTTTTCTTCCAATGAGAGGTGACTATTAAACTTACTTTTCTCTATTCTATTCCCAGAAAGTACTTTTGCTTCATCCATGGAGACTACATTACACTATACATGAAGCGTAACAGTTTTCAGTATAATATGTTTCATTAACTACTTATATAAAAAATTTTAAAAGTTCATATCAAAGAGAAAAATAACGGCACTCTGATTTTCCCCAAGCAACATGGGTTCTCTCCGGAAGGAAGAATAGCCTCCTGAACAGGGTTGATATGTAAGATCGCTTCCTACAAAGAAAATGATTCCTGCAGAAACCATTGTATTTTACATTTTGCTAGGGAATATAACTGCCTCTTCATGCAATCACTCAGCAGATGCTACAACAGTGTGAGGACAAGTTGGGAGGGTCAGGTCATTTCGAACAGCTTGACTATGATACTAAGCAAAAAGTGTGAAATCTGCAGGTCTTAATTTCATCACAACAAAAATCATTTCTTCAAGTGTCTCCATCTTTATTTTATTTTTCAACACTACCATATATTTTTTGCCCAAGCTAATGTAGCAGACTATCTCAGATTGAGTGGCCCAATGGGGAACTTTCTTCTTGGCTTGCAGGTGGCTGTGCTTTACTATTTCCACACATTCTTTGCCCTGTGCTTGTTTGTGGTCTCTTTTCCTTATAAGGGCAGCAGTTATATTGCATGAGGGCCTCTGCATATGTTTTCTTTTGAACTTACCTACCCCTACAAAGGCCCTGGCTCCAAATAGAGTCACATTTTGAGGTACTAGAAATTGGGATTTCAGCACATGGGTTAATTCCATAGCAACTGTACAGATATTATGAGCAATTGTTTGCACAAAAAGTTTATTTATAAAATACAAATATATGAAGAAAAACTATTTGAAAATACTTTAGGCACAGTGAAAACCTCCAAAGTTCATATTGACAAAAAAATTTTTGTTTCTCATAAATTGGAAATAGGGCATATCTTTTATGCTAAGTAAACCAGTAGGGTTAGTATTTCAGTATTTGCAATGTTTGGGTTTAATTTATAGTTAGGATAATTGTCCTTTATTCAAATACTAGCAATATAAAAATTGTTCAGAAGTGTTCTGGGTAATTTCAACTTTTAGCATTAATTAAGCCATTGGCTTACATGTTTATCTTTCAGAAGTTTATTTGTGCATATTATAGGTAACATATATGTTAATTATATATTTCAAAAATAATACTTTTATGCTCAAAGAAGTATTAGATCAATACATATTAGTAAAGCAACATGATTGATTTATTAGAAATGACCTAAAATTGCTTTTGTACCAAATTCTATTTCCCACTAAAAATGTCCTATGGGCTAAGTACCTTAACCTCCCAGTGTTCCATTCATGTAGGTGAAATTAATTTGTCACATTTATTCTTGTGTCAGATTCCCCTGAAGTTTCTTGACTCATATGCTAGTTAGAATCACTTGAAGTTCATTAAATAATTTAAGAAAAATGACACAAACTTTTGAGAATCATTGAGATCTTTAAGACATAATGAAAATCTTTGCTCTATAAATGTAATTGATCCTACATTAAAGCTCATGACTTCTGCCACAGCAATAAAGCCATTACTGTTTAAAGCACAAATTCTTCAGAAAAGCAGAAGTTAGAGCTGTGCACAGGAAGAAAGGTAAAAATATATTAAAATAGCTAGAGCCACGATTTAATATAAGGAGGAAAGAAAGAATAGGAAGAAAAAAATTAGAAAGATGTAATATTCAGTATAAAAATTTCTGCAAATGTTTCCGTAACTACTGTATTAAAATGGGTAGATTTTATATTTTATTTTTCAATATCTATTTTAATACATTAAAATAAAGATTAAAAAATGGAAATTTAAGGTTGGTATAAGCTTAGCAGAGTTAACTTATGGAAGACTCTGGAACTAATCCTTGGTATGATTAAAAGACAAAAAAGGATTTCCTAAAAGCAGATGTAAAAGTGCAAGCATTATACCTGAAGTGGTCCTCAATTTATGACTAGAGTCTAAAAGAAGAGTTTATAAAATTCATTAAAATTTTCAGTTTCCTTCTTTAAAAAAGTGTATGCGGGGAGGTGTAATTTTATAAATTATTCTTTGCTCAAAAATTTCCCTTAGGCCTCCTCACCTAATTTGTATTTCGACTATGTACCCAATTATGTTTGGAATTCGTTTTTTCTCAGTCTTGTGGAGATGTCTTTCTACCAAGCTGCCAGCATAGTTGATAAGCCAAAGGGGGCACGGAACTACTCTTCCTGCTACGGGTGCTATGGATTTTACATGACAATACTCAGAATTTTCTTACCCCAGTTTTAATGAAATTCCACATCCATGAGCTGAATCTTCTGTCCTTTACGGGCTAGATAGTCAAATGCCTCTTTAATGCGAATCCTTGGAGATTTCCTTGGAGATTTCTTTTTACCCATTTGTTGGTGTTTTCCCTGTTGAATTTTTAATACGTGGTTTCTGGACTTCTATGATCTTTTCCTCTTGTCTTCCACTTCTACTGATATTCTTTGCAAGGTTTTTGTTTGCTTGTTTTTTGTTTTGTTTTGTTTTGTGCTGTTGTTCTCTTAATCCAATTATTCTGGTGGTTTTTTAGAAGAGTTTGTTTTCGCTGTGACGCTGATCATGGCTTTAAATACAGTGTGGTGCTATTTTTTTCCTCTCAGTTGTGTACTTCAAAAAAGTAAAGAGAGAGGAAAATGTTGGTATGCAGTTTAATTTATTTCATGTCAACCTTATGTCTTTTTCCACTTCATTTGACAAAATCCTGACCTCCTGCGGTTCTCTGTTGTGCTCCTTTGTTGTGTGCACGCTGCAACCCTGGCTCTCTAGTCCGCCTGTTTGCTGTTCTACCTCCTCTTCTGTCTCCAGTACCTTCCAGTACTTTTCCCAAAGTATCTGTCTCCGATGGACAGCATGCCACTTACACAAGTATGTCGCTAAACCCATGCGACTAATATAGAAATCATGCATAGAAAAAGTTAAAAATAAATACCCCCATGTCAATAAATTGATCATCATTGTAGCAATTTCTTAGTAAGGAAGGGAGATTTAAACAATCATCAAAATTAAACAAAGCTGGGGGGAAAGACCTGACAATTTAACTGTTTTGTTCAGTGTTATAAAACAACGGTATTGAATCTATCGTGCATGTATACACACATATACATAAGTAGTTACATGTCAATAAGTCTAATTTGCATTGTGGACCGTCACTTAATTCTTTAACGTTCTTTAAATTTTGCTTTTCAGCAAGGCTATGCATTGAACCTGGGCCAGACCCTTTTTATTCTTTTTTTATTTATTTTATTTTTGAGACAAGGTCTTGCTGAATCTTTAAGTTCCCCAGGCTGGGCTTGCACTGGTGATCCTCCTGCCTCAGCCTCGCAGACAGCTGGGATTACAGTCATGCACCAAGATGGCTGGCTACTTCCAATGCTTTAGTCACACATTTTCATAATAATCCAGCTTACTAAACCTCTCAAAAATTCTTAAGCTTTTTCAAGTTTGAATTCAGTCACATAGTGTTTTTACTGTCTCACTTAAAAATAAAAGAGAAAGGGATGAGTGCCTAAACAATTTGTGCAAAACCAAGCAATAATAAAGGAATAAAGTCTTTTAATTATGAAGAATAAAATAAATCTAATGTCAATTTCCATAATTGGCTCTTTCCACTGTTTTTCCAATTTCTGTACTTATATTCATTACAACAAAATGACAACAAGAGTGAACTCCAGTTATTTTGGTCCATATTAAAACATCGTATTGTATTACATCAAGAAGAATCGCCATCATCATCACTTCTGATGTCAGTATTCAACCCAAGAATCAAAACTGTTGGATATAATAGTCTTGCACTCTAAGGGCAAAAAATATTACAGGATGTAAAATATCCATGTGCTCATTGCCCATAATCCAGGTGTTTTAATTTTATTTTCTCCTCCTATAAACATCTGTATTATTTGTGTAAATACTACCCTACCTTTCTG